CATCAAATTTGGACTGAGATGCATACTTTCTCCTCTGAGGAGGTAAGATGCAGGAAGGGGGATGGGAAGCTTGTTATAACAGACAGTTCCACCATTCTACAGATATGTGTATGTGTCCATGCATACGTGTACATATGCATGTATATCAATAAATGACTACAATATAAAAACAAAAGGCATCAATAAATCTTTTTTTTTATTTTTTTAATGTGCAGTGAGAGTTGCTGTTGGGGATTACTTTGGAGATTAATTTAAATAGGTAAGGACATTAGTCACTTTATACCTCTGGGCCTCAGTCTCTTCATCTCTGAAGAGGCTAGATGACTCCCAAAGGCCCTTTATAGCTCTAAAACTCTGTGAAGAGCCTTGAATGCCAGATTAAAAAGTTTGGCCTTGAGCAAATCAAGAGCGACTAAAACTCATCCCTCCATTCTGATACCAGCACCCTTTGTCCTATACATCATACAATTGGGCAGCTTTCAAAACTCTAGAAATCCTGGCTAAACTGCTCCATAAACCCAAGTTATTTTTTGCCATCTCTCTTATATTCACACTGTAACACTACTCTCAATCCCTAGGTGTTACCTTGCTTCTCCCATAAATTGCTGCCTTTGCCCCCACTATCTGCCATGGTCAGTTAGTCAAGTAGCATCTATTAAACGCCTACTACATGCTAAGTTAGCACGTAGTAGAAGAAGAAGTAGAAGTAGAAGAGAAGAAAATATAGAAGTAGAAGAGAAGAAAATGGCAAACTACTCCAGTATCTTTGCCAGGAAAATCTCATATGGGGTCAGGAAGTCAGACACTACTAAACAACAAATCAGAATTAGAGAACTTTAGACAGATAGCTAGGTGGTGGGTGCAATTTATAGAGTACTGGGTCTGGAGTCAGGAAGACCTGAATTCTAATCTAGCCTCAGACACTTTTTAGCAGTGTGACCTTGGGTAGTCACTTAATCTCTATTTGCCTCAGTTTGCTTCTCTGGAAGATGATATAATAAAAGTATCTACCTCCTAGGATTATTGTGAGGATCAAATGAAAATGTCTATAAAGCACCTAGCACAGTGCCTGGCACACAGTAAGTATTATATAAATGTTAACTACTAGATAAGGATTTTTGAAAGGAGCGATAGGGAAATACATTTTGGGACCTGGAGAAACATATGGTGCTTTTTTTTTTTTTTTTTGCTCAGGGTACCATGTTCCTAAATAGGACTGACAGCCTATGAGAGACAAACACCTGTTGGCTAATGAAGTGGTTTTCCCAAAGTGGCTTGAAGAGATGGGCTAAGGATCACAGCCATGTATTCAGGCAGTTAGGTGGAGCAGTAGATATAGCACCAGCCCTGGAGTCAGGAAGACTCATCTTCCTGAGTTCAGTTCAGACATTTACAAGCTGTGTGATCCTGAGCAAGTCACTTAACCATTTGCCTCAGTTTCCTCATCTGTAAATAGAGCTAGAGTAGGAAATGTCAAACCATTCCAGTATTTTTGCCAAGAAAATCCCAAATGGGGTCAAAAAAAAGTCAGACAGGACTGAAAAAACCGAACAACAAAAATCCTTGCTGATTAAGCCAAATACAGGATTAAGGTTGCAAAAAACATTATTATAATTTTAAAAACAAATTATGCTTTTTTAAAAATTGGCCCTTCCTCTATGGCTTGCCTACTTGCTTTTAATTTAATCAGCAACACCATGAACCAAAGACCTACTTGATTCCAGGTCTCTGGAACCTTAAGTATAATCATGTCCTTGCTGAGCTATTTCCTGAGCCTGCAGCAGAAAAGGGTCCCCTTCACTGGGCTCAGTATACTTGGACCGCTTTGGAAATCTGTTAATGGGACCTGGTATCAAGAAATACTAAAAGACTCAAAGGAAGGCCTCTGGATTTGGATAGATCATCTAAGAAGGACTTGTGGATAGAAAAGACACAGGATAAGAAATCCTGGACAGGCTGGAATCTGTACCCACCTAAGTGAAATCATGGACCAGTATATACTATACTATATAAAAATCTATCAAATTAAAAGGCTTTCCAACCAGGCTGCAAGGATACTTTTATATTACTGTTAACATTAGCCAAAGAATCTAGTGCACAGTCTTCTGCAAGCACAGGTGATAACCCAGAGGATCTGGAATTACAAATTAAGCTAAGTCTTAGCCTTTCAGGAGTTTGTGATGCAAACTGGTTGTATATTTTTAAACAAATTAAGGTTCTTTTCTTGTTCTCCAAGTAGCTGAGTATAACTGCAGATGTGTGGTGGAGGGAGGTCCCAACTTTGTGGATATACTAAAAGGGCAATCTATGCCTCTTTTTGGGGTCTTAGACAGCTGGGTAGTACAGTGGATAGAGTACTGGGCCTAGAATCAGAAAGACCCAAGTTGAAATCTGGCCTTAGACACTTAGTAGCCATGTGACCTTGGCCAATTCACTTAACTTCACTCAGTTGCTTCAACTGTAAAATGGAAATAATAATAGCACCTACCTCACAGGGTTATTGTGCGGAACAAATGAAATGATATTTGTAAAGTGCTTAGCACAGTGCCTGGCACATAGTAGGTACTTAAATAAATGCAAATTCCCTTCCTTTGCCTTTATTCTTCCTGTTAGCCTTGAGGTACAAGAATGATTCTCTGAGCTCCAGAGTCAGAGGTCAGAGGATGCTACTCCTTCTCCCTGAGCTGCAAGTCATGAGCTCACAGCCTTCTAGGCAAGCCTATGTCTGGGATGGGAACCCCTCCTATATCAAACAACTTCAGAGGCATCCTTATACTTTGTGGCTAGCAAGGAGAAGAGGCCTCAGCAGTAGAGACTGCCCCTTTAGTATAACCCCAGAGTTCCAGCTCAGCCAATTAAAAGAGTCATAAAGGCTGGCAGGAAGCAGCCTGAGGATGTCTACATCTGCTCTGTAGCTGGGGGAGGCTGGGAAGGAATATTTCCTACACTTCACATCCCCAAGAAAGTTGGGGCAGGGGGCACTACACTGTCATGATCCTGGACACAAAGCAGATGCTCAAAAAAACCAAACAAAAAATCTTATTTTAATTGATTTTGTACACACAGGATTATATCAAAATATTTAACCAAAAAAAAAAAAAGAAAAGACAGTGAAGATTTAATGTCAAAGGTTTTTTTTTTGTTTTTGTTTTGTCTTGTTTTTTAAAGTCCAAACCTGTGATTTCATTGGTATATGTAAATTTCCATGAGGAAGTTCCCCCTACTAATGGAGCTCAGCACCTATCTACAACTTCTGGGCTTAGACAGGGGCTTTTCACTGTTTTTGTGTCATGGATCCCTCTGGCAGCCTAGTGAGGCCCACGGACCCTTCATTTGTGTTTAGGGCCTGTCTCCATGACTCCTTTGTTTGCCTTAAGGTCACCCTTGAGAGACAGAAGCCCCTTAGCCCACTTTCCTCCATCCCTGCTCTGGCCTCTCAATTCCTGAAGCCTCAGCTCCAACTGAATAGCAAATACTTGACCTTTATGGACTCCACATGGATTGGCAGGGAGCCTAACTAGGCAGAACTAGCCTTGCCTGTTATTTCTCAGAATGATGTTTTTAAGTGTCCAAAATAAAATACATAGGGATAGAAATAAGCCAATTATATTAAAACATAATTATCCAAATAGTTTAAAAAACAAGTTCACGGAGCTTGGCTTAGAGAGCGGCCTGGGGCACCAAGGTCATCCAACTAGGATGTGCCCAAGGCAGTCTTCCTGACCCCAAAGCCAGCCCTCTATTCATTGTACCACATTACCTCCTTCAAAGTACTCATTTTCAACTGCTCTTTAAAAGTAGGCATTATAAAATAGAGGCAGGACCATGGATTGAGCAATTCACTAGCCTGTTCCCCATCAATGCTCTTAAGACTATATGTCGCAGAGATGGTGCTGACCTACCTTGTAGGGATAGTTTCCTCACCTTTGAGTTCTCCAAACCAATGAAAACACTGGTCTAGTCCCAATTATGAAACCATAAATAAATTTCTTAAATCTTTAATTTTCTAATAGTTTTCTACATTCTCTCTCAAAGAATGAAGTGTGTATTTTGGTTGTTGGGTCGTTTCTCAGTCATATGCTACTCTTCATGACCCCCTTTGGGGTTTTCCTGGCAAAAATACTGGAGTGGTTTGTCATTGCCTTCTCCAGCTCATTTTACAGACAAGAAAACTGAGGCAAACAGGGTTAAATGATTTATCCAGGGTCACACAGCTAGTAAAGTGTCTGAGGCTAGATTTGAACTCATGAAGATGAGTCTTTCTGATTCTAGGCCCAGCACTTTATCCACTATGCCACTTAGCTGCCTGAAGCATGTCTATAAGAATGAAATTACAATTTTCTATGATTTTGATAAATATTTTTTAAAATACACTGATAATTAAAATTAGTTAACTGTTTTAAACAATATACCACTGCAGACCATTTTTTTTTACCAAGTTCTCTGAAACAGAGTATTTTCATATATTCTGAGGACAAGACATTCTTTTTGAGGTTTGTGTTTTGTTGTTTTTTTTTTTTTGGTTAGGCAATGGGTTTAAGTGACTTGCCCAGGGTCACACAGCTAGTAAGTGTTATGTGTATGAGGCCGGATTTGAACACAGGTCCTCCTGAATCCAGGGCCGGTGCTATATCCACTGCGCCACCTAGCTGCCCCTTCTTTTTGAGGTTTATGACAGTGTAGTGGATAGAGTCCTGGGAATGGTATCAGAAAGACAGGTATTCAAATTCTACCTGTGACCCTCAGCAAATCACTTGCCTCAGGCAACACCCTTAAAGTTGTCTACTAAGTCATAAAAGCAGAGGAAATTTCCATAAAGGGAGCTCCATGCCATAAATTGTTTTTGTTTTTGTTTTTGTTGTTTTAACCTAAATAACCCACCCATTTTTCAAAAACAGATAACACGAGGTAAACACATCTACATCATGAAATGCAGAATTCAGAACAATTACAGATAAATATTAAACATAAGGTTGGGAGGCATCTCAAAATTCAGGTACCCTCCTCCTCCAGTGATGTAGCTGTATCCTCCAGTTCCTAGTCCATAGCCATAACGTTCTCCTAGAAACACGGGTTCACTTGAGTCATAACAGCTAAGCAGATTCCGGAGCCTGGAGATACTAAAATGTCAATGGTACGCGTAATTAACAATTACTCCTTTCAAACACAATTTCTGGTTAAACTTTCATGGCTCCTAGAGCCTGCTGTGCAGTGCATGCTAGCCATATGAAAATTTATTATAACTAGGGTTCAAAAAAGCTTATGGAGGCAATTAAGAAAATGATAGAAATCAGCCAGTGGTCATCATAGGGGACTGGGGGGGTGGGGGGGACAGCTCTATACTGCTCTCTAGCCTCTCCTTCCCCTCTTCTAAAGATATTTTAAACGCCACCTCCACTACATCTTGCCCTCAAGTCCTGCATAAAAAAATCAAATTAGCCACGCTGCTTTTGAAATTATATAATGAAGGTTTCATATACTTCAAGGAGTTATGACTTCATTGCAGTGGGCATTCCCTATTTACACTGATGTAGATGGCAACCCTTTTGATAATTTAGGAGACACTTTTCAACTCACTACTTATATAGTGACAGTCTCTCCAAACTTTGTTGGTCTGGTTCTCAGCTGACAGACAACTGGTCCCTCCTGAGCCTGTACTGGAAGTATTTTCAGCTTTGTAGCACCTTCCAAAGCTTGCTTTGAGAGCTGAGGATCACTTCTGTACTACCCTCAGGGGTCGAAGGAGGAATTTAAGAGAAGAAAGCTTTTATGCATATAAGAAAGGTGGTCTTCCTTATTAGACTTTTGCTCTAACAGATTCTGCCAGTTACCACTTTGTTAAACATATTTCAATCTTCAAGAAAATGTAAGTTACTGGTGTGCTTAGAGTTCTAGTGTCAACAACAAAGATTGTCTCTGGGAATTATTCTGCCTTGGGGACCTTGGTCACACACAGTAAATACCCACGCTATTCATCACAGTACAGATTACTGCAATGGGTGGTACAGGCAGTAAGTTAACTAAAAATAAGTGGTCCCCATAGGAAATACATAAGGAATGTGAGATTTCATGAATCATGAGATCTATATGAACTGATGCAGAGCAAAGGGAATAGAACCTCTCTCTTTCTCTCTCAATACACACACACACACACACACACACACACACACACACTCTACTAGTGTAAAAAAAAAAAGATAACGCTAAAAGACCAACAGAATACAGGTCAAATACAGTGGACAAAGTTGGTTCTCTATTACTGAGGTTAAAACCACAACATTCTCTTCTGTAAGCATTGTAAACTATATGAGTGAAAAGTTACATGTGCTGCCAGTAGTAATCAATGTACTAGATGGTTTTACTTTGTTATGGAAAGGTACTTTTTATTAGGATATTGTTTATTGGTAAGTGACTAATGAGTCAAAACAAAATGTATCAATTAAAATATTTTTCATCTTAAAAAAATACACTATATAGCACCATAAGCATATGGATACTTAATAAAAAGTTATGATAAAATTAATTGTGATATTTATATTAGTCACAATATCCATATATATGCAAACTAGAAAATATGAACAGAGAAAAGATTAGACTTGGAAGTATATGAACTAAGGCTTTGAATGTATGGCTAGATTCTGAATGACTTCTTACCTTATTAATGTATCATCATCCACAATGACTAACCAAGTTGTTGTATCACTGCTATGATTCAAAAATCTTTCCAAAATAGCAAAGGTCTTTCCACAGTGACCTAAGAAAAAATGTCAGGATAGGATACGGTGATTACCCACAGATGTAAAGTGGTAGATTCAGGGTTTGAACCGTGTCCTCTGATATAAGATGTTATATGAATGAAAATTGTATTCACCATTATCATCCATGTACTAAATGAAAACAAATAAAAAACATTTGGAGGTAAAATGACTCAGGTTTTTTTTCTATTGAATGAAAAGCCTAAATTTTAATTAGACAAGTTATAATGCAAAGATGAAAGTTACATTTAGGATCATGGGATTTCAAAGGGAGAAGTCATTTAGTCTAAGCAATGCCTGACTAATACATGATTTTGCAACACATACAGAATACCCTTGCCATAGTTCCAGTTTTCTTGAGTAGTACTGACCAATTCTGGACAGCTAGGTGATGCAGTGAATAGAGTGCTGGACCTGGAATCAAGAGGATCTGAGTTCAAATCCAGCCTCCGACACTACTTGTGTGACCCTAGGCAAGTCACTTAACCCTGTTTGCCTCAGTTTCTTCATCTGTAAAATGAACTAGAGAAGGAAGTCGCAAACTACTGCAGTATCTTTGCCAACAAAATCCCAAATGAGGTCACAGAGAGTTGCATATGATTGAAACAACTCAACAAAGGCCAAAAAAAAAACCAAAAACCAAAAACCCAACCCTGACTAAAGCTTGAAATGGTTAATAATACAACCAATTATATGGCATATGACCAATTATATGGCATATTATAAACCACAATTAAACCATATCTATAGCAAACTGATAATTGATACTCAAAACCACAACACTAATGCCCTGCCAGGATCTTTAATCATCAAAGGTCAAAAGCATACTCTACTGAACATAACTGAGAATTAAGTACATTTTACTGTTCTTAGGAAAGGCATTGCTTGCTCAAAATCTTCCTTCTATTTACATATGTGCTATTTATAAGAACAAAGAGAAATAGATTCAATAAGTGAACTCAAGCTGTCATGCTAAAATGTAACACCTGGAATAGGGATTTATAAAATATAAATTCTTTTTGAAAAAGAAGGAAGATGAGAGACTGATTTGACTTGACTGAAGTCCACAATGCTTCTGGTTACAGGTACAAGAAAAATGCCATAGGATTAGATCAGACTAAAAAGGAGAGATTCATTACTTTTCTCTTCTATGTCCCCTGATCTGACTGGAAGTAGGAAAAATCTAGGGATAGAGGAAGGCTTGGAAATCCTTCAATGTAATTTTCTCTGGGACTTCCCAAATTAGTCAAAGGTAAGTTTAGATAAAAAGCATTAGCTAAAGCACTAGCTTAAGTGCCTCCTAAGGCATTCTGAGATAGAAGGAATAGGCCAGAACATGATGACTTTCCAGAAGAAATTCAGGAAACACAGAAGCACTTGTGTTCCCAGGCCTCTAAGAGTCCAAACATCTAGTCCATCTATTGCCAAAACTGCTAGTAGCTTCAGTGCTCAAGTGGATCCTTAAGTTCTCAAAAGGTAAAATGTTAAAGGTGAATATAACAGAGGTTTTGGACTATGGAGAAAAGGGGAGAATTAATGAGGCTGTTAAGAAGGCTCGGAGTACACCAAAGGTTAAGCTCTACAAAGATAACCGCTCATACTTCCATCATAGGTCCTTGTGTTTCTTTAGAAGACGTTGTTCCAATTTTCTCCCACCTGTTTCAGGTATCTAGTAAGTACCAGCTGTGTAACATGAAGTTTTTTTTTACTAATAAAATGTTTAATTGCCTAAGAAGGTTGGCTTTGTCTGTATTCTACAAGACACATTCACTGAAATAAATGACTAGCAATTCTGAAGTAACCAAGATAAGCGAGACTACCACCTGGTGGTGTCTCCCTAGAACTTCAGCAACATGCTCCCAGGGGCTCAGAAACATGGAGATAGCAAAGCTGTTAAACCCACAAACTGACAGATAATGCCATAATTGCAATTTAATTCCTTGAAAATTGGCAATCTATGTATGGTGGATATATAGTATTGGACAACCAGAATGCCTAATAAGATCTTATTTTTTTCAATCATGACACAAAGACATGAAATATATACATACTGTATATATGTATACATACATATATGTATGCACAGATACAAATGTGTGAATGTGTATGTGTGTGTGTGTATGTGTAAAACTAATCCTTATATAGGTACAATTTCCACGTACTCCAACTATATTAATTATGGTCTACTGAAAAACTATTAGGAATAAATAACCTTTTGTTGTTGATGTAATTTGTTGTTTTTCAATTGGTTTAGTCACATCTGATTCTTCATGATTCCATTTGGAGTTTTCTTGGCAAAGATACTGGAGTGATTTGCTATTTCCTTCTCCACCTCATTTTACAGATGAGGAACTGAGGCAAACAGGATTTAGATACTTGCCCAAGGTCACACAGCTAGTAAGTGTCTGAGGCTGGAACTGAACTCAGGTCTTGCTGACTCCAGGCCCAGCACTCTCTCCACTGTGCCACCTAGCTGGTCCTGTTGATGTAAAGGCAATGCTTAAAGAAACCAAGGGGACAGAGGAAAATGTGTAAAATAGAATTATAATCTACTTGGAAAATAAACATTTTCTGCCTTAATTTATCATATTTATGGAATAAAATATTTCTTAGAAAGGCACTAATCAATCAGTGCTCACCTCTTTCAGTATTAGGCACTCCCAGATCAATAGTTGGAATTGAACTCTCTGCATAATCACTGTAGTATTCAATGAGTCTTGCCTGATCTTCCCAAGTCTGCTTTACAATAGGTACTGAGGGGGAGAAGTTACAGAGAAAAGAGATTAAGATCACCTGCCTAAATGTGTAATCAGCAGAGGCAACTCAGAACTGCAACATCTATAAGGCAGTAAGATGGTCATTTGTCCTTCTTAAGGTCTCCTAGGACCAAGAGCTTGTTTGTAACCCTGAGAAAAGCTATAGTTGAATGGTGATGACGGGACATGATTCGATCCCACTTCTTGATCAGCATTTTCAATACTCCCTTAAGCAATAAATTCTGCCTTCATACTGATGAACGCATTTACTTCCTTATATGAAATCCCAGTCCAATTACATCACAGTGTTATATGTAAAGCTCAAATTTTAATTAACCTTTTTCTTCCCCCACAAAATGTTAATTTAAAATCTACTTTTTAAACCATCATTTTTAGCTCAGCTTTTAAAAAAAACTGTTATATTATTCTAGCTAATCTTAGTGACTTCTTCTGGGATTATCCTTAATGTATTCTGTATATATCTTGTTTCTGCATAGTTGTTTGCATGTTGCTTCCCCCAGTAGACTGCGAGAGAACAGAGACTTGACTTTTTTTTTTGCCTTTCTTTGTACATCCAGAGCTTAGCACAGGCCTGGCACATAGTAGGTGCTTAATAAATACTCCTTGATTGATGGAACTCCCAAATCAACATATCCACCTCTCATCTCTTTTTTAAGTTACAGCACTACATCACCAGCTCCCTGCTGGACATCTCTTGCATAAGCATCTCAAACTCAGCCTCTCCAAAATGGAATTCACTATCTTTCTCCCTCTAAAATCCGTCTTGCTTTCTAACTTCCCTATTTATGTTGAAGGCACTACCATCCTTCCAGTCCCCCAGGTTTGTAATTTCATGTTTGTTCTCAAAGTTTCTTTGTCTCTCCCCTTTCCCCCATCCCATTTAATCAGTTTGCCTGTCTTGTTGATTTTACCTTCATAACATCTCTTGCATTCATCCTTTTCTCTCCACTCACAAAATGGTGACCTTGGTTCATCATCCTTTTGGTCTCTGTGTCTCTGTCTCTCTCTGTCTCTCTGTCTCCCTCCCTCCCTCTCTCCCTTTGCCCTCCAGTCTCTCCTCTGGGAATTCATTCTCCATATAGCTGTCAAACTAGTATTTCTGGAGCATATAACTAACCATGTTACTTCCTTCCTCAAAACACTCCAGAGGTTCCCTAACCTCTAAGACAAAATGCAGACTCTTCTTTTTGGCATTTAAAGTCCTTCACAATCTGGTTCTGAACATTATTTTTTTTCTAGGTTGATTACACGGATCACTCTCTCTCACATATTATGTCAAACTTTTGCCCCATATATGATTTTCCATTTCCTATATCTGTGCATTTGCATCTGCTATCTCTCATACCTGGAATGTTATCCCTCCTCACCTCCAACAACCGATTGACTGAACTGCCAAACAATTTTTAGGCTCCAACGATTCTTGGATTTCCTTCCAGGCTCACTTCAGTTATCACCTCCTAGAGGGAGGGCCTCACCCAATGTCTTTAGTTTGAGTGCTCCTCCTCCCCCAAAATTATTTCATACTTACCTTGTATATATTTTGCAATTGCTTATTTGTTTAAATGTTGTTTCCCTCCAGTGGAAAGTAAATTCCTTGCAAGCAGGGACTGTTTTGTAATTGTCTTTGTATCTCAAGCCCCTAGCACCATGCCTGGCACATAGTAATCTTTTAATAAATGTTTATTAAATCAATGGATGAATTAACATTAAAGTGATCAATCTTAATGCAATATTAAAGGAATCTCCATGCCATATATGGTCCTATGATTTTTCTGCAGTCACAGAAGAGATAGTTCATGCATGTTTTCACTGTAGTAAGAGGCATATTAAATGAAAGACAAAGTAAAGTTACTGTAAAAATCTTCACTCTATTCTCTCCTTCTAAAACCCTGTGTAATTAAAATCTTAACCAGGGCACTGCATTGGTGGCTTATTTTTGCATATAATAAAGAAAACGACTTACCACGTAATAGGGCTCTCAGGAGCATGCAGTCACTATATGTTCACACTCTTGGGTAAGATATCCTCCATTATTGCATAACACTGGAAGAAGCTGTGAGGAAAAGTCAAGAATTTCCCTCAGTCTTCAACATGTGTCCTTGCAGGGTTGCAAATTGTGCATTCGTTTTCCTTGGCTTTTAGCCTTCAGTTCCTTTTTGCTCTAATAACTAATCAGGATGGGTGATTCTCCACCAACGAGCTGATTCAAATGACACTGAAATAAAAATCAAGGTTGACTCTCCTCCCTGAACTCCTATATTCAACTACATTCTCCCTGCTGGAGTTTTAAATAGTGGTTGTCAATATCTTAGGACAGTTCCCTTTTTCAAATCCCCTTCTTTTTTTTTTCTTTTTTTTTTGTTCAAACTAGGAATTATTAGATACCAGAGAAGGCTAGAAATTGGCAACATCTTGTAACAGGATTGATTTTTCCCCTATATAGATATATACATATATCTATACAGAGAGAGAGATATATACATATATCTATATATAGAGAGAGATATATACACATATCTATATATAGAGAGAGATATATACATATATCTATATATAGAGGGAGATATATACATATATCTATATATAGAGGGAGATATATACACATATCTATATATAGATATATACATATATCTATATATAGATATATACGTATATCTATATATATAGATATATGTATATATATCTATATATATATACCTTATAAAGGTATGAACAATTGTTATTAGTGTCATTAAGGTATTTGGGATCTAATTTGACTGTTCAATGCTCTTTGCTAAGAGAATTCTAAATCATACTGCCTGATCACTGTATTTCTAAAAGGCTGAATGTTGAGAAAATACTTTTGCAGTCAATTACAATTACAGATTTCACTTTCAATCAATTTAATTTAATTTGATTGAATTCAATAATTAAGTGATATCATGCTAATGTTTATGAAATCTCACACATCAAGGTACCAAAGTAACAGAAAGGACCTCCTCAATAAGATTAGTTAACAACAAAATAACTAAAAGTAAGAGCAAAAGGTTAAAAAATACTTCTATTATGAAAAAGTTCAGCTGTATAAACTATATATATCTTCCATATGGATTTAGAGGCCCCTTAACCAAAGGAGTAAAACATAACTCTGAAGTACACAACATACATATTTACCCTTGTATGTTTCACTGTGAAGATGACTTAAGCTAAGAATGAAAATAGTCCTCGGACATGCTATAAAGCTACCTTACAATCAAATGACAGCTTTTGGGCTTATTGAGGAAGGTATTATTAATATTGTACTTACATATGATGTTGGGTCTAAGTTGTGTTTACTTGTCCACTTAAAAACATGATTGTTATTTTCTCTATGGGACAGATCCAGGACCACAAGGAGGCATACACATACATACACATAAATGTGTGTGTGTGTATATATACACACATATATATGTATATATATATGTGTGTGTCTGTATGAATGTATGTATGTATACTATAATATATATGTATAGGATATATAGGAATATATGTGCATGTGTATACGTGTGTATGTATATATGTATATGTATGTATGTGTCTGTATATATATATGTTATATAAGAATACATACCAAATGTGGGTCATAATTCCACATCAAAGAGAAAAATTTCATGGAAGTGATTAAAACCATTCTACCCCACTGATTGAAAGTGACATCTCCAATTAATCTGTATCCTCAACCACTTCAGACTTCACGGGGAGTACTCAAGAACTAGCTTTCATCCACAGTTATTAATTTAATTACTTCTTCTAACAAGGAATTGTCTTCCACCTGGTTCCTTATAACCCAAGCTTTACTTACACACCTATTTAAGACCCACACGCTACACTCTTCACTACCTGCCTCCCCATCAGATTGTTCAATCAAAGACAGAAAACTAGGTAGGGGTTAATCCTAATGTTTGTTTCAGTATATTGATGTGGATTTTACTCTCTGATGCATAATCACAGCAGTAAAGCTGTCTACCTTTTTCTAATCTAAAGCAGAACAAGGTATTTATCTCATTTTTTTTTAAGAAATCAAGAAGCTGTGAAAAGGAACTGAAGGCTGAATAAGTAGCAATTTTGCCTCTTTAATTAGATGGGAGACAGCAGGAAGATGGCATATCACAACCCACTATTTAATGAGCAACAACAGTGGCTGCTACCAGATGCTTGAGACATGCACATGATCTGCATAAGAAAGGTAAGGTACAGAAGATTCTTAAAATTTTCTCACAGCTCCCATTACGCAATGAAAAACATATGACCCAAGAGCATGGATCAAGTTGAATCAAAACCCCAGTAAATAGTATTTTGCAGCATTTAATGCTACTTCTTACCCTTACAGCTTTTAAAAGTCTGTTTAAAAGCCTTACCCATGCTTGGATCTTAACAGAAATGCTGCTGCATAGATGGAGTAGATAGGGATTTTCTAAGCTAACTTGAAAAGTATGTGTCAATAAGAATGTAATGTTTCAAGTAGAGTTACAGAGTATCACACATATAGAGAGTTCAAATAGACTGGCTCCATCAAGCAGCTATGCTTTCCTTTGTATTAGTAGAGAACAATCACAACACCTTTCTTTTGAACATTGGCCTTCCTCCTTTATTGCTAGTCTACCTCAGGAAGTAAAAACTGAATTCCACTTATGTCATTTTGCGTTCCATTCATGTCCATTTATGCCAAACACCTTAAAAGCAAGAATGGAATTTCCTTGAGAGCAGTTCAGCCTATCCTTAGAGGTTGTTAATATTTCATACAATCACTAATGATTGCCAGAAAATGTGCTAGAAGAGTATACTAGTGCTTCTCTGGTTATGGGGCAGAGTAAATTGAGCTAGAAGTCAGAAGTTCAAATGTTACACCAGACACTTAGTAGCTGTGGGACCCTGGGCAAGTCACTTAATCTCTGTCTCAGTTTCCTGATCTATAAAATGGAGATAAATAACAGCACCCTCCTCCCAGAGCCGTGAGGATCAAATGAGATGATATTTGTAAAGTGCCTTGTAAACCTTGAGGAACTATATATATGCTAGGTGTTATCATCATCATCATATTAATATTGTTTAATATATAATATTGATAATAAAATACTCATGAATAATAATAACCATAAGTAAGCAAATTGCTACAACATAATCCTGTACCTACTCCCCTAATGTTCAATCAGAGAGAGGAATTGATCATTTTTATAGTTTCTCTCTCCACTACTTCTAGGTATTTATTTCTGTATTTATTAACATCTCCATCAGAGAATATGCAAAGGCAGAAAAAAGATGACACTCAAGACCTAATTCTTCTGCTCAGGATTGTAAAATTAGAGCTGGAAAAGGACTCCAGTGGGCCACCTGATCCAAAACACCCAGTTTACAGAGAGGCCTCAGGAAGGTAAGTGACTTATCCATGGTCACACAGGTAGTAAGCAATAGAGACAGGTTATAAACCCAGATCCTCTGATTCTAGAGCTGGTACTGTTTCCAATTTAGCATGCTGTTTATTCGTAGCTCCTTCTTATTAAATAATTTGTTCAGTTGCTTCAATCACGTCCAACTATTTGTGACCCCATTTGGGGTTTTCTTGGCAGAGATACTGGAGTGGTTTGCCATTTCCTTCTCCAGCTCATTTTACAGATGAGGAAGCTAAGGCAAACAGGGTTAAGTGACTTGCCCAGGGTCACACAGTTAGTAAATGTCTGAGGCCAGATTGGCACTCTGGAGGATGACTCTTCCTGATTCCAGGCCCAGCACTCTATCTACTCTGCCACCTACTTGCCCATTAATAATTAATAACATCCAGTAAAATAGATGGCAAGAGAGGAGAGCCAAATATTCCTAACCCAACCTAAGATTGTATTTGAGAGTTAGTTGTGGATTTTTATTTCATCCTGTCCTAATTAATACAGAAAATAAAAAGTTGGCTTTTACGAGCTTCTAAATGCTGGCTTTCTAAATACCTGATCTTCAAGAGAGTATGCCTTCTTCATCAATGCCATTAAATGGTATTAGATGTGTACCTGAATGCACATTGTACTGCTTTCTACTATACTATCATGTTTCTCATGGCATCCTAGATGTAGAGGTGGAAATAACCTCAGAGGTTATCTAATCCAACCTCCTCATTTTATAGACAAGGAAACTGAGACAGAGAGAGATGAAATGACTTGTCCAAAGTGACACAGGTCACTAGTGACAGAGGCATATGTGAAGTCAGGCCTTATGACTCTAAATCCAACCTTTCCACTGTGCCACAGTGGTTCTCTCTTTGTTCTCCATGGCAGTAGCTCACGGCCTTTATGAAGAAAACATGGTGACTCTCCCAACCAGATAGTAGAAAGGGCAGGAAAGCCCAAAGCTCCAAGATTCTCCTAGCATATACACAAACTCAAGGGTCACAGGAAACTTAGAAATTCTCTCACATTAGATTATTTCTTTGAACAAACACATCACATTCAAATGAGTCTTACAACCGAAAATCAACCGGGTTTCAGAATAGTCACAAATTTTCACTTTTCTCTGTGACTGGAGCCAAACAATAGAAATCAATACATTGGATTGCTTTAGGAGCTGAAGTGTTTGTTTGTCTGTTCATTTCCCATAATCATAGCAGTAAGCATTATTAGAGCTAGAAGTGATCATTAGGCCAGAGCATTCACTTCATTAACGAAGCGCCTGAGGTCCAGAGAAATTCAGTGACTTGTACTGGGTCACAAAGCATGTCAGCGGTAGAAGTGGGACCAGAATCCAGGTCTCCTGATTCCCTGGCCAATCTTCTTTCCATTGGGTCACACTCTTCCTGCTTTTATATTCTTTAATTTAATAACTACTTTTTAAAAATAAAATGATCTTCAGGCTAAATTCAAGATAGTAGGTGAGGTTATTTTTGGGTTGTGTGAAATAGAGTTCTGCCTTTCACTGCTTTCATATTTCAATAGTCCACTCACAAAATGCTGTCTAATTCCAAGCTGTATTAATTCATTCTTTGTCCCCTTTATCCAGTCATCCAGAAATTTCTGATGATGCTTAATTAGACAAAGGAAGGCAACAGTATGTGTGGGGGGCAAGATATTGTCATGTGCCTATCTTAGCTTCTAGGAGGAAACATTTTGAATCTTCTTTTTTAAAAGCTCACATTAATAATTTCTTAATTGTTTTTATGGCTTTCCAATGAGATGTGACACTCTGAGAACCTGCCAACAAAATGTTACATATTGTGACAGATATTAGGAATCATCTTCATTTTGCGACTCTAAGACTAATCTTGGGTTCTTTTTTATCAAGAATTATGGTTCTGAAGGGATTTTGAGTGGAGTAAAAGCTGTCCCCCAAGCCTGGGTTTGTAGGGCAAGGTACAGAATGCACAGGGGAAGGAGGTATGAGGCTTTAAGAAAGGCCATGGGACTCAGTCATTTTCTGCTCAGAACAAGTGTTGGTCTGCCCAAACCTTCACTGGACAGGTATCTAGAGAGACAGCATAATGTAACAAGAGGAGTCTGTTGCAATGAAGGCTAAGAAAGCCTGATTTAGCAGTCAGCATTTCTCATTTCTAATTCAGCTGGAGATAGAGTGCTGGACTTGGAGTCAGAAAGACCTGGGGTTAGAGCCTGCCTCTGATACGTACCAGATGTGTGACCCTGGGCCAGTCACTTCACTTACCTGAACCTCAGTTCCCTCATCTATTAAATGGGGGATGGTGACTGCACCTACTTCACAGTATTATCTTGAGACTTAAATGAGATAATATATGTAAAGTAATCTGTAAACATTAATATGTTACATAAATATGAGCTATCATTATTATCCTGTTGTTGTTGCTTTTCATACTCAGAGGAGGATTAATCAGTCAATATCATTAAGTACTTACTATGTGCCAGGCACTGGAAATACAAATACAAAGACAAAAATTAAATAGTCCCTGCCCTCACGGAGCTTACATTCTCTGGGTGGAGGCAACATGTATACAGATAAGCATAAACAAAATAAATGCAAGGTCATTTTCAGGGAGAGGCACTAAAAGCTGGGGGCAAGGATAAATCAGGACAAGCCTCTTCTATAAGGAAGGATAGGATCATGGATTTAGAGCTGGAAGGGACCTCAGAGACCATCTAATCCAGCCCCCTCATTTTACAGATGAGGAAACTGAGGCCCAGAGGGGTTAATAATCTGTCTAAGGTCACATAGACAGTAAGTAGCAGGGCTTGGTTCCAAGTCCAGTGCTCTTAACATTCTTGCCATTACATCATACTGCCCATCTCAAGAGCACTCCTTGGCAATACAATAAAAAAACCTGTACTTTCCCAAAGTGTTCTCCATTCTCTGGTTTAGTTAACAGGGCTCTCCTGCTTTATAAAGCATCTCCCTTTCCCATCTTTTTTTATAATCTCTATTTCACTTAGGAGTAGCACAGTTATAAATGTTTTCTTTGGAAGAATGTACAGTGAAATCTAGGAAGGGGGTAGATCAGGGACCGTCTTCAAAATTCTCATTGGACCCACTTAATTTTCATATTCCAAACTTTTCACAGGCAACACATATAACATGATCAATTATTCTAGTAAACTACCAAGATTTCAGTGAGAATCAAAGGTTCTGCACAGTTCAAAGTAAATATTTCTGACATACTGTCCCCAAGACAGATGTTGTCTAAACTTTCTAATTTATAAATAAAAATGGGGCTTTAACAGGCATTTAAAGGAGCTGTGAATTCATATTTTGGTTTCATATGAATTCATATTAATAAAGTTTAACCCTTTTAGTTAACCTGTCAAAATGAGGAATACTGTTAAAAGCAGATTTCACTGGTTGCTCCCTTCGTTCCTGTCTAATTCTTGTGCTTATGCCCTTATAAAATGAAGAGCACATTTTAAAAATCCAATAAAAACAAATGATTCAGAACATACTTCTGTCATCATGAAACTTCTTGCATGTTTTTACCGCAACAAAAACAGCCATCTCCTTCACTGGATTTCCCTATGAGGCAATAAGAAGAAAAAATGATGCATTTATAACTTGAAGTGTTTATTTAAAGTGTGCATTATAAAATCAAGCATCAACTATCCCAAACTCCATAAAAAGTGGCTTTTTTATGACAATGAGTCCAATCCTACTGCCCAATTAAATTTAGGTAAAGAATGGAGGAATCATTTTAATAACAATTAAAGTAGCTCTTTTCTAATTTGTAATGAACAGGATGGAGAATGCCTAGAAACAGGGAACATTTACTAGAACATGTTTTAATTAGGATCATATTTATATGTCTATTGTCAATAAAATTAATTGACTTGTTTAAACTTAAGTCTGTAGTTGGGAGAGTTAGAGTAGTTAGGATGGAATAGGAGAAAGAAGACAAGGTCAAGAGTCAGAAGACCTGGGCTCTTGGCCCAGCCCATTTTAGCTGGCTATGGAACCTTTAGAAATTTACTTAGTCTCTCCGCGGGCCCCCATTTTTTCATCTCTTACAAATGTGTGGTTTGGACAAGGTGATCATGAGGATGATTATGATAATAGCATCTAATGATATGGTGATTTAAATTTTGCAAAGTGCTTTACACATATTATCTAATTTGATCTTGGAACCAGACACCAACTCATCTGTCTTAGCTTCCTCATTTAGAAATATTAAGAATTCCTTTGTGAAATGACCCTAGTCTGAAGCCTTTGATCTAATGTGAGAGAGAAACATCATCAACCTTGCCTTAATGATCAATTCCAAAAAAAGTCATGTTCTCTTCTTTTGGATCAGCCCAGGAACGTTGTTGTTCAGTCATTTGCAAACTCCCTGTGACCCCATTTGGTTTTTTGTTTGTTTGTTTGGAGTTTGCCATTTCCTTCTCCAGCTCATTTTATAGATGAGGAAACTGAGGCAAAGAGGGTTAAATGACTTGCCCAGGGTCACACAGCTAGTAAGTGTCAGAGCCTAGATGAGTCTTCCTGACTCCAGGCCCAGTACTCTATTCACTTTACCACCTAACTGCCAAAGGGTTCCTCCCCAATAAGTAATTAAGGCAGTGAAGGGACAAAGGCAAGCTGCCTTTGATTGATCCATGGAAGAGTAGGAGCCTCTTCCCTTATGCCCTGAAGAGATTAGGTTAATGATCCTCCTAAATCAGGGCTCCTATGGACTGTATCCCTTTGAAGTCTAGTGAAGACTCTCTCTCAGAATGTTTTAAATAACTAAAGGAAATATTTGATTTCAGTTAGAGCTTAAAGAAAATCAAGATGTAATTTTTTTTCCACCCCAAGTTCATAGACCCCTTAACTTCTCTTAACTGAAATTTATCTGTGGACTCCAGGTTAAGAAGTCTTGGCCTAAGAGAAGGAAGAAGCCTCTTTGATTACTTCAACTAATGGAAATATATCTTCTGGGTTCACCTTTGGCCAGCTGGAAAAGAGGATCCTTTGGGTAGTAGTCAAAGAGAAATGAATGGTTTCAGGAAATTATTCTCCTTACTAGCTGTGTGACCCTGGGCAAGTCACTTAACCATGATTGCCTCACAGAAAGAAAGAAAGAAAGAAAGAAAGAAAGAAAGAAAGAAAGAAAGAAAAGGAAGAAAAGAGAAAAGGAAAGAAAGAAATTATTTTCCAGAGCTGTGCCAAAACTTAAATGACTATTGTTCTAATAAAACAAACTGCTAACTGAAATGTTACCAGGACTCTAGATGACCCTTGTTCAGTCTTAACTGGGAAGTATTCCTTGTTCAGGATCCTATAAATTGGGACTTCAAAATTACTTGTGTTAGAGAGATGCCCAAGGTAATGAGATGTCAGTTTTGACATTTTTCTCAATAGACAAAAAATATGCTTACATTTAAAATTATTATAAATTAATACTTGTTTTTCATAGGTTTGTGTATACAACACAGAGTATAGAATTTTCTTCCACACCTTCGAGGTAGGTGTTATTATTATCCTCATTTTACACATGAAGAAACTGAGGCAAAAAGAAGTTAAATGACTTGCCCTAGGACACACAGCTAGTATCTGAAGGAGATTTTAAACTCACATTTTCCTGGCTCCAAGTTCAATCACTCTATTTCTACCTATCACCATAAGGTCTTTTCCACTCTCAAATATGGAGTCTAGTTTTGAGTACACTTGATTTTAATTGTAGGCAGTCTGAGTTTGCTAGCAAGGGTCATCCTCTATCAGTGATGTTTTTTTTTCTCCTTTCAGAATGACAGTTTTCAATAAAAACTGTCTTTCAGGGTCTTACTATAGTTAATGAAATGCTTGATCCTATGAAAAACACATGAGCCCAAGTGCTCTTCTTAATTATCAATAATAAAGTATTCATTGTGCACATTTGTCAAGGTGCTAAATGTGCATATGGTGTATGTTTACATTTTCTTCCTTTTAGACGGAAAGATGTGAAGGACAGGTGTCATGACTATAGCATCTCTATGCTATAAAATATCTCCTTAGCTCTTCTGCTAGTAAGACATCACTAATACAAAGAATTTGGAATTTTGTCAACATGGGAAACTCCCAGTGTGGGAACTTTGCTAATTAGGATCACAGCCTGTCTACTTTTTAGTAGGAAAATCCTAAGGCATCTGAACCTTAAGTTCAGCAAATTTTTCAAGGTGACATGTCTACTAGGTTTCAGATGAGGGACTAGATCTCTAGTTTTCCTGACTCCAAGCCTACCCACTATGCCCTGCTGCCTCTGTAATAATAATAATAATAATAATAATAATAATAATAATATCTATCATATGGTGACAGGGATAGAAGTTACTATTCATAATCCCCATTTCTACTCTCTCTATATTCAACTGAGCTTTCACTCTGCTTACAGACTTACCTTCTTTATTCTTGGATCTGGTCACATCATTCTAGTCCAAAGCCCTTCAACAGCTACCTATTACCCACCAAGTAAAGTTCTCTACATTCAAAGCCTTTCATGTTCAAGAGGCACTTAATAAATGCCTGAATTGAATATGGTGTTTCATTTGATAATAACAATAATAACTTACTTATATAGTGTGTTAAGGTTTACAAAATGCTTTTTTAACAAACATAGTCATAGGAGAAACATCTTCATTTTATAGATGGGAAAACTGAGGCTCAGAGAAATTAAGTGACTTGCTCAAGGGCAGGCAGCTCCTAACTAGCAGATCTAGGACTCACATTAAAATCTTCCGATTCCAAATCTAGTATCCTTCCCACTACAACCCATAACAAGTGTTCAGGAAATTTTAGTTGACATTAATGATTTGACATAGAATCTGCTCCTGTGTCCTCCATCAGTGAATAATTACCAAGACTCACTGAGTCTGTAATGTTATACAAGGTGCCAAGATAGCATGAAGCATACTATATAAACTTAACACATAAAGAAATTTTACCTATGGTACTCACACAAAGCGGTAGAAAAGCATGAAACATTGTAGCACAACTGGTAGCCTTAGGAGAGCTCACATCATCTGTGCAAAACTCAGGCACCGGAGTAAGATGGGGTCCATTGCCTTTGTCCCAAATGTAGAGAGCAATCTATTATAAAACAGATGATTGGCAATGACTACAGGAAGATAATACACAAGATGTAAAGAAAGAAAGGACATAAAGCATCAATTATCTTGAGATTGGTCTCATAATCATTAGAGAATTATTAATTACATTGTGTTTATAAGTCTTATAAATGAACCAACATTCTGAGTACTAAAGGATTCCCAAGTGGATACATGAATTTTGTAAAGCAGTAAAACTCCCATCAAGATACTGTAGAGAAATATACAAGAAAATCATTAGCCTCACCAACATCACCAAAAAACCTGGTATCTACACCTGAGCTGCATTCTCTTTAAAAGAAAAATACATTCATAGGCAACCTCCATTCTTTGTCACCAGAAAGGGGAAGCAATGGCTCATGTTCCCTCCCACCACCATACTCAACACTTATTTTGCTTCCATTTTCTTTATTAAGGAAAATAATCTTTGAAATTGGGGACTATATAACAGAAATGAAACTCAAAATAATCAAGGAAATGGTTAAAAAAAAAAAAGAATACCTAGCTGCCCTTCATGAGATCAAGTCACCAGGTCAGGACAAAGTTTTTCCCAAGACACTGGAAAAAACCATGCAGGAATGACTGTTGAATAACTGTCATTAGTATTTGAAAAAATATGAAGAAAATGAATGAGACAAGTGCTCAGGGACCAGAGCCTGAAATCTGTCATCCCCATTTTTCGAAAAAGATAAATTGAGTTCTTCAAACTAGAGGTCAGTAGGCTTGACTCTGACTGCTGGCAAAAGTCTTGAAGGGCATAATCTTAAAGGGAGGGATTAGTAACCCTTAGAAAAGGAGTACATGCCCACTAAGAGACAACATGGGTCATCAAGGATGGCTCATGCCAAACTAACATCCTGTCTTTTCTTGACAGTGTTATTAAACCGATTAGGGGGAATGTGACAGGTACATAGTATAGTTGGGTTTCACTACAGCATTTTACCAAGTCTCTCATGATATACTTGTGGACAAGATGGAAAAATGAAGCCTGGATTCAGAATTGGTTGGATTATACAGGACCTAAAAAAGAGGCAATTAATGGATACACAGCAACATGAAGGGATATTTCTAATGAACACCCCAGGGTTTACCCCTGACTTTGATGAACAAGTTAAAAAAATAGCAAAATCTAATTAAGATGAAATTTGCTAGGTACAAATGTTATGCCATATATTTGGATTCAATAATAATATCTAGCATTTATGTTCAGTCATTTTTTCAGTCCTATCTGACTCTGTGACCCCATTTGGGGTTTTCTTGGCAAAGATAGTAGAGTAGTTTGCCATTTCCTTCTCCAGCTCATTTCACAGAAGAGAAAACTGAGGCAAACATGGTTAAATGACTTGCCCAGGCACACAGCTAGTAAGTGTCTGAAGCCAGATTTGAATTCAGGTCTTCCTGACTTCAGGCCCAGCATTTCCACTGCGCCACCTACTTGCCTTAAAATTTATATGGAGCTTTTAAGTTTGCAAAATGCTTTAAAAATATTCTCATTTTATCCTCTCAACTACCATGTGATGTGGGTGCTATCATTATGCAGGAGAGGAAACTAAGAAAGGTTAAACAACTTGCCCGGGGTCACATGGCTAATAAGTATCCAAGGCTAGCTTTGAACTCAGGTCTTCCTGGCTCCAGGTCCAGCACTCTATCCACTGTGCCAGCAAGCTGTTTGACTGAACCAGTGCAGGATGGGGGAAACATTGTTAGACATTTTAATCTGGTCCAGCTGACATCTCTGTTGTAGAGCGTTCATACTTTTAGAGTTGGAAAGGACCTGGAAGCAGGGGATAAGTGTTTTTATATAGCACCTACTACGTGCCAGTCACTGTGAAAAGTGCTTCTTATAAACATCTGATCCTCAGCCTTGGAGACCATCTGATCCAATCCTTTCATTTTACAGACGAGGATTAGGAAAGTGAAGTGACTTGCCCCAAAAGGCAAGATTTAAACCTAGGTCCTCTGGGTCCAAGTTGTGTGTTCTTTCCCCTGTACCAGCCTGCCTTCCTCTTCAGGTTGGTGCTAAATGACTTCTGAGATTCTTTCCACCTCTGCCTCAGTGTGCACACTTAGGGTTATAATTAACAGTCTGCCTTCAGATGGTGGTTTGCATGGCAGGTAAAACAAAATGCTGAATGAGTGATAATCTAAAATCTGCTCGAAGTCCAAGATCGTGTAGGTGAACTCAGTAAAAAGGAAACACAAGTCTCTCTTGGGCAGGATTGAATATATGATCAGAGAGATCTGAAGCAATGAATGTTTAAGGACGGGCTATATAATCTGTCTCAGGCTATCTGGTTGCCCACCATTTATGCCAAAAGTACAAAAAGACATCCTTTGCTCCCTGAGTTGTTCACTACTAATTAGCTTAGAGGAAAATAGCCAGTACAACCACAAGGTTAGGGAATGGGAGGTGGAGCTATCCTAAATTCCTGCTAGGGTGGCACAGCGGAGAGAGTTCTAGGCCTAGTCAGGAAGATTGGAGTTCAAGTTCTACCTCAGACACTTACTGTGTGACCAAAGGCAAGTCTCTTCCCCTAGGCCTGCCTCAGTTTCCTCAACTGTAAAAAGGAGATAATAACAGTTCCTATCTCATAGGGTTGTTGTAAGGATCAAAAGAGACAATATTTGTAAAATGCTTAGCACAGTGCCTGGCACATAGTAGGTATTGAATAAATGATTTTGCCCTCCTCTTCTCCTTCCCCCTCAGATGCACCCCCATTACTTGCCTTTGGTTGTTTGGTTAGATCCTGTTTCCCAGGGCCCAGATGTGGACAAAAGGAGAGATTCACATCTAAGTTCAGGGCACTACTAGATAAGGCTACAGACATCTCTGAACCAAGCAACTGTCAGCCTATGGAATTCTCTGAGGGAGGGGTATGGGAAGAGCACATCTCAGAGCTGGATATTCTAGCAAATGAAAGGAGCTGGAAAATGGAACACTGCACATGAGGAACAGCTAGCTGGAGGGCCAATGAGACTGGAACAGACACTGGGTGAAACAGCGCAATATAACCTAGGGCCAGAAAGGCAGTTGGGAGCCAAGCTTCAAATGGCAGGTGGAGGAATTTCTGGTTTATTCTAAAAGGAAGCTACTGAAGAGTTTTGAATGAGGGAGTGCCGTGATCAGATCTATGTTTTAGGAATACCACTTTGATAGCTGTGTGCAGCAGACTAGAGAGGGGAGAGAGAAGAGGCAAGGTGACCAAGAAGAGGTTTATTTCAATAGTCCAGGCAAGGGGTGACAAAAGCCTAAAACAGAGCAGAGAGAAGGGGATGGTTGCAAGAGACAGAGGGAGAACAGACATGACTGGACAATGTGCCAGATAGGGAGGGGAAAAAGAATCAAAGATGACGATGAGGTTATAAACCTGGGTAACTAGAAGGACAGATACATAAAAAAATTAATATTTATTTTATTTAATTTATTAATTGTTTTCTATATGTCAGACACACACACACACAGACAGACATATATGTACATGTAATATAAATATATACATACATGTGTACATATGTATGTATATATCATATATACATATGTATGTATATATATTATATGTACATATGTATGTATATATATTATATATACATATGTGTGTATATATATTATATATACATATGTGTGTGTATATATTATATATACATATGTGTGTATATGTATATATGTGACAGCATCACAGCTTCCTTGCACAACTCAAGAACTATAGTGAGGGACCTGAGAAGGGGCTTTAGAGTGGAAGGATGCCCATATTGGGGCAAAGTGGAAAGATCAGGAACAGATCCAGGAGAGAAGTAAGCATGGATGTCACGATCACCTCCTGAAATGGTGGCCCCAAGTGAGAATGCCCCAATCAGAGGATGAGGTGCAGGGATGGCAATGCCATCAACAGAAATGGGTAAGTTCAGAGAATAGATTAATTTTGGGGGAAATACAGTGTGTTCTATTTTGGACTGGTTGAGTTTTACATTCTTACAAATTGTCCAGGCAGTCAATATCATGGGACAGGCATTCAGGAAAGAGATTAAGGCTGAATAAGAATTTGGGGGAGTCATTTGCATAGAGGTGATAGTTGAACCTACAGATGAAACAGGCTCAGGACATAGCTTGAGAATGACTTCATTTACTATGCAAGGGTTGAGAAGGATGATCTAGAAAGGAGAACTGAGAAGCGAGTAGACAGGTAGAAGCAGAACCAACTGAGAGCTTTACAGAAATCAAAGGAAAAGAGAAGGGGTGGTGGAGGACATCTGCAGAGATGTCAAGAAGGATGAGGATTGAGTAAAGGCACTTCCACCACATGGAGTATTTCACCTCTGGGCTCATCCACAGTTTTAAAACTCAAAACTGGACTGAACTACACTGAGGATTGACTACTTATGAGGGAAAACATACTATTGGAAACTTAGAATTTTTCCAGTACCAAAATCCTTTACAGATTTGATTATTCAAACATTCAACCCAATGAGATATGACTTACCTCATGTTTTAAATCGATTGTAAAATCAGACTTCAAGGACTCACTTTTCAATCTTTTGGTAAGCCTGGAAAATGAAGGCAATTAAATTTACTTTTTGTCAAGAACCAAAAACAAAACAAAACAAAAAAGAGGGGGAAAACATTGTTTGGATTTTTTTAAGTTTAAATAAGTTAATGCAGAACTTATTATTATTAAAATTTTTTATAAAGAATAAAAGAATAAAACAAAATTACACTGTAAGGATGCTAAATGGATGAAAACACAAATCATTTACTTATTATCATAAGCATGCCAATTGTGTGGCACAAATGCTGAATTTTAAACACTTCAAAATGCCAACCTTTAAAAGGAAGATCATTTTATCATATACAAAGAGACATACTGGAGCCTTTGAAAGATAATACAATGAGGTTTTGTTTTAAACTGGATATACTTCTACTGAATTATAGAAAAAAAGAAAATAGGAGAAGGAAAGGAAAAAAAAAGGATAAAGGTTGAAATTTCCCTCGGTCATTTTCAATAACTTCAATATAGCCTTTTTCTTTGCTTGTTTGGGAGACTATTGGGGAAAGCAAAAATTGCTTTTCTTCGAAGTGTTTTCTTTGATTCCAAACTGAGGTTCATACAATGAACTGGACTGTAGAAACACTTATCTGTTTTATGATTCTCATAAAGTAGAAGAAATTTTGTTTTGATATCTAGTTATTTTAATAGTATGTATACCATTGGCTTCATCTATGAGAAGTCATAATAAACATTTTAAATGTCTTCTACTCACTACTGTCAAATAACATCTCAATGTATAAAAGCAGCAGCAAATTTGAAAATCCTACCAAAATGTTTGTTGTTCACTTGTTTATTACATCTTGGCCTTGTGTTTGGTCAAAAAAGATTTTTTTCAAAACTTGATTCTTAACATATAGAAGATAAAGACATGGAAAATGGATCATAATTTATATTTTATTGAATAACAGTTGACCTACAAATGCTATTACAGGGACTCCATGACTTACAAATGACTGACATAAAAATGCCACTTTCAGATGCACCCTCTATCTTCCCCATCCTGAGACATCTCCCAGTTAACAAAAATCAAGCAATTAAGCTATTCTGTTCTCTTTGCTAAAAATAAAGTTCTTTCAAATGGAAAGGAAATAACAAATGACTAATAGGGAGTCAATACCCCAGATAAGTAAGAAGACAAGACAGCACACAGAGCCTAGCACCACTAAATGTATTCAAGTCACTTGGCCCATATGACTTTCCACATTCAGGTAAAGAAAGTACTGGCAGATGTGCCACTGAGCCACCTTCAGCGGTACTTAAAAAATCATTAAGAATGGGAAAGATACTCCATATATAGAAAACAGCAAGTGTCCTGATATTAAAAAAGAGAGAGAGAGAGAGAAAACAGAATAAATGGATAGAATGAATAGAACATGAAAACTACAGGCCAGTAAACAACTTAAATATATAAATATATTATTAAAGAATTAGTTACTGAACATCTAGAAAAGGAAGCAGTAATCACAAAGGGTCAGTATGGTTTTATCATGAAAAAGTCATGCTAGACTCATTTTATTTCCTTCTCTGACAGTGCTTTTAAGCAGAAGGGAATGATGAGGATAAAGTTTCCCTAGATTTTAGAAAAACTAATTGAATCTCAGGCTACATTAAAAGAGACAGAGTTTCTGGGACTAAAGAAGTAATAGTTCCACTGCATCGTGACTATTTGAAGTATTGTGTTTAGTACATTTCAGGAAGGTCATTGCTGAGCTGGGCAGCATCCAGAGGAGAGTAACTGGGACAGTGAAGAACCTTAAGCTCATGCCATAGGAGGATCAACTGAAGAAACTTGACATGGTTAGCCTCGACACTTACAAATAAAATTCTAGAATCACGACCCTTTTGGAAGTTGGGAACTGACAATAATCATGTTGAAACTATTTTATGGGGGCAGCTAGGTGGTGCAGTAGATAGAGCTCTGGCCTTAGAGTCAGGAGGACCTGAGTTCAAATCCAGCCTCAAACATTTGAAACTTACTAGCTGTGTGACCCTGGGCAAGTCACTTAACCCCAACTGCCTCACCAAAAAGCAAAAACAAAAAAACAAACTATTTTATGGCACAGAATTCCCAAAGAAATCAATGAGTCTTTGCTATATCTACCCACACAATAACCATATCCCTATAGTTTTACTTTTCTAAATTTTTATTTATTTAATTTTTAATTTATGGAGTAAAACAAGCATTTCCATAACATAGTATAATTAAAAAAAAGATGATTGCACATAAAACTGCAAATCTATTATGTACAACTTGCTATTCCTTTTTAATATATAACAAAGTTATCAGGCAACTTTCTTTTTTTTCTTTTTTTCTTCCCTCTTTCCCTCGCCCTGTCCTAAAGCTGGCTACCATTAGACACAAATATATATATATATACACGTAAAATCATTCTGTACATACTTCTATTCATCAGATCTTTCTCTAGATGGAGATAGCATCTTCCTTCATATGTCCTTTGTAGTTAATTTGGGTATTTATGATAGTCAAAATGACTTCATCACTCAACATAGTTCTTAAAACAATATTGCTGTTACTGTATATAATGTTCTCTTGGTTCTGCTCATTTCATTCTCCATTATTTCATACAAATCTGTCCATGTTTTTCTAAGCTCATCAAGCTCATCATTTCTTAAAAACATACATTTCTATAACTCATACTGACAACAACCCTAATCCATCCTTAAACACACATACCCAGAATTTTTTTTTGTCAAGTCTTGGAATAAAATCCAAATCAGATCTTATCTAGTTCAAGATGGTCCCCCCAAATATATTGTATCAAAGAATGTTCTGAAATTTGGACTCCATGCCAAGGGCCTTTGAAATCTGATGACTGTTGGAGAGTAGCAACTTGGCTGCAAAAAAGGCTCCCTTGACAATAAGTATTAGCAGAGCTCAAAACAGAGATTTTTCAATGGGGTGTCTAGTGCCCCCTCGACATCAGTAAGCAGGAAATGCTTACTGAGTCCTGGGGTGAAATGATCATGTGCAGTCCGCTTAGGTTTAGAGGCAAGTAGGTGGTACAGTGGAGATGGAGTGCCACTCCTGGAGTCAGGAAGAAATGAGTTCAAATACTGCTTCAGACACTTACCAGCTGTGTGACTCTACACAAGTCACTTAACCTCTGTTTGCCTCAGTTTCTTCAACTGTGAAATAGAACAGCAACTATCTCACAAGCTCATTGTGAGGATCAAATGAGATGATATTTGTTAAGCATTTAGTGCAGTGTCTGGCACATAGTGGGACATGGTATGTACTAGAAAACAGTATATAGTAGGTACTAGAAAAATGTTTATTTCTGTCCTCCCTCAGTCATGGGGATGAGAGTGGGAAGAATTGGGAGAGGAAAGGGAGTGAGATTATGGGTGCTTATCATTGTATGCCCAGGAATTTTTGACACCAGTAGTTACTATTAAAATAAATATTCTTTAGACACTACCAGAAGGGAGAAGGGGCCAAGGTAAGCCCCACATCACAGCACCCTGAAGCCAGGAAGCAGCTGGCTGGTTGGAGACAGTACAGCACACTGAAAAGAATCCTGGATTTGGAGTCACAGGCCCTGGGTTCAAATCCCAGATTTCTCCCTTTGTACCTTAGGCAAATCAGTTAATCTCTTTGAGATTCAGCATCTTTCCAGGCCTCAGTTTCCTCATCCATAAAATGAAGAGGTTGGATAAAAGAATCATAGATTAGAGCTGGAACGGACCCCAGATGCCATCTTGTCCTCCCTTTCAGCTCTAAATCTATGATCCTATGACACTAACCGAGGACAAAAAAGAAAAAGTGCCCAGTTTCTATTATCTCTGGGCTCTTGGCCAGGTCAGCTCCATGTTTCTGCATATGCCTAGGCAGGAGATATGGATGGAGTGCTAGACTCAGAGTTCAAATCCATTTTCTGACATTTCCCAACTATGTGACCACTTCACCTCTATAAGCCTCGGTTTTCTCTTCTGTAGGATGAGGAATAATCCCAGCTGTAGGGTCTAGCTCACAGGGCTATTGTAAGGATCAAATGAGCTAATAATACACGAAAAGCACTTTGCATACTTTAAAGCACTGTATAAACACCAGGTTTTATAACTATGAAGAAATGGATTATTTGGCATCTTCTAAGGTCTGTATGTCCTATTTAAGTTACAGATCACCTCAGTCATCTGTCAGACTTAAAAGATATTACATTAAATTGGTTTTGTTTTTAAGATTTCAAATGCATTTTTTGGGTTCAATTTTATTTTATTTTCAAAGTATTTATATTAAGTTTCTTATCAGCTAGTTACTAAAGCTCTGTTGATCTGGCAAGAAAACTATTTTACAATTGGGTCACAGCCCTCCCCAAACCTCCATTTAAGGAGGGCACCCAGGCCAGCCATCTCTTCATTTCCCAACCAGCTGTACTCTTTCTCCATGACAGATTTCTCCATTGTGCCCTGTGCCAGATATCCTTCACCCCTACAAACTCTTCCAGTTTCCTTTTGTGTGTTCTCTTCCCCCATCAGACTGTAAGCTCTCTGGAGGCGGGAACTCTTTTTCTTAATTTGTATCACCAATGTTAGCACAGTGTCTCGCACACAGTAGGTGCTTAACAAATGTTTACTGAGTAAATTACCTTACACTCATACAATTTTCAAAGTGCTTTCAACGATATATCTCACAATCATTATAACTACTTTTTAAGGTAAATATAGCAAGTATTGTTAGCCTCATCATACAGGAAAAAATGAGACACAGAGAGGTCAGAGGGCAAATAAGAGGCAGAACTGGGATAAGAAGCCAGGTCTCTAACCCTAAAGTCTACTACTCTTTCCCCTCTATCATAGGGCTCTGACCATGGTTAGCAGTAACAATTTTGAATACATATATTTGCCAGAGTCAAGTGAGAGGCAGAACAATTTAGTCAAGTCGTCAAGCATTTATTAAACACATAATATGTGCCTAATCAACCAATAAACATAAGCACCTACTATGTACCAAGCACTATACTATTGCTCACGCAGTATGCACTATAAAAATAACTTTAAAAAAATCTTAAAAATTCTGATTAATACAATGACTGACCATGAATCCATAGGCTGGATGATAAAGCAGGTTATTCATACCTCCTACTAGGGAAATGATGAATTCAAGATGCAAAGTGAAACACACATTTTTAGACATGGCGCACGTATAGATGTTTTCTCTGATTACACTTATCTGTTACAAGGATTCTAGTTTTCTTATTTTTTTTTCACTTGGAGGTATGGGTATTTGAGGGGACAGGGGAACTAGTGATTCTGTTGTAAAAAGAAAACAAGAAAAGAGAGCCATTTAAGCATTTTCTAAAAATGCACACAAGAGAACAGAAGGCCAGCAGGAAACAGACAAGCAGGAAAGCTTTGAAAGTAACAATTTGTTATAAGCTTTTAAAAAGCATATGGTATGAACTAGTGATCCACAGTTTCACATATAGTCCCTTTTTTTCTCTTCTCCTTTGAAAATAAAAACATTTCTTTGGGGGGTATTTGGTATAGTTTTGGTAATCTGGTATTAATAAGTTCAGAATTTTAAAAATTCAAGATTTTTTTTAAATAAAAGAGATTTGAACCAAAAAAAAAATACCCAGAAAATCATAAAACACTACAAAAATATAGATAATTTGCTAGGGCAAAAATGCCTTTTTTTAGCCAATCTACGAGTCATAAAGTCATGGAACTGTATTAAAAAAAATGCCCATTTAATTCTTACTTGTTTATGAGTGGAAGACTAAGGGCCCAGCCAGCAGCAAAGTCAGGAAATTTGAAAATTGTAGGATCTTCAGCAAAGGCATAATGATGGATGATTGTTGATTGTTCATCATGTAACGCTTTTCCTAAAAACCACTCCTGGAAGAAAAATGCACAACATACTAAATCACCCATTACATTATTTATTCAAGATAAATGATAGAAAAAAATAGTTACCTGCTGAGGGAAGGGATTATGGAACTTGCAAAATGTCTGCTTTTACAACCTACTAAAACATTCTTTGTTTTATCACATGGTAAAGAACAGTACTCTGGTCAACAGAAAGTTAGCATATATGGATTCCCAATTTTTAAAAAAATCAGAATACAATAATATAGCTCTAACACTAAAACCACACGAACATAATTTACTCTTTCTTTGATGATTCAGAAATCACTTTAGGATTTGAAATATGCCTCAAAATAATCATTATTAACACTGATCATGCTTATTTTTTTTCTTTTTTTGTTCTAGATCTGTGATTTCATTGCTGTAGGGAACTCCAGGTAAGGAAACACTATATACCAAAAATAAATCAGCAATTGTTCAGCAACATAGAGTCTCGGACAGTCGTCTAGAGAAAGGAGAAGTTACATAACTTGCTCAGGGTACCATAGCTAGGGTGTATCAAAACGTAGGACTTGAATTCAGGTCTTTTTGACTGTGAGGACAGCTATAAATCTATTATGCCACACTGTCAGTCATCCTTATCCGACAGGTGTGCAAAAAGCATTAGTGGATGGAATGGTAGATAACAGAGAGTTTACTTTGCTTTAAGAGATTTCTGAAGAAGGAACTGAATCATGTCAATCTTGATATTCACACAAATGAAACCAAAAGACAGAAGGAAGTTGAAACTAAATGGAAGGCAAATCATGGAATTGGTGGAGTTGGTTTTATGGTATGGCCAATGGCAACAAGAACCATTTTTCATTGGACATTTGGGTGATTTTGTATTGTGGTGCTTATGATGGGTATTTGCAAAAGCATCATCATGAAATTGATTACAGCTTATGTACCAATATCTGGTACAGAGGGAAAAGAGGCAGAGAAGTTGTACCAAGAACTTGAAAAGATGATCCAAATTATATCAACATATATTTCAATACTCAGTGATATCAACACAAGGTGGTCATGGATGAGGATAACAAAAAATACGCTATATCTGCAATAAATCCAAAATAGATATATAACATGACTAATAAATTTCATAATTGAAATATTAGAATAGAATCATATTGTATACCTTTTACAGTTATAGGTAGGAGATGAATTCTTAACGTAAACCAGGGAGAGGTAATTTAAAAAGATAAAAGAAGTCATTTTGATTACATGAAATTGAAAAGCTTTTTACACAAACAGAATTAATTTAGAATAAGAAGGGAATGGGATTAAATGGGGAAAAATCTTTGTATCAAATTTATGTGGCAAGGGTTTGGTATCTAAGATATTTTTATAGACAACTAACAAGAATATATATGGCCAAAAGGCAGTTTCCCAATAGATAAGTGGCTAAAGGTTATGAACAGTTCTCAGAAGAATTACAAAATTCTCCAAATCACTTATAAGAGATAAGGAAATCAGAACAACCCCGAGATTTTACCTCACACCCAGCAAATTGGCAAAGACAAGAAAAAACCAGGAATAATCAGTGTTGGAAGGGCTGTGGAAAGACAGGCATACTATTTCATTGCAGCTAAAACTGTGAATTAGAACAACTATCTGGAAAGGTGCTTTGGAATTATACAAATAAAGTAGCTAAAATCATACCCCCAAGGAGATCACTAATAAAAAGGAAACAATCCATCTACATGAAAATAGTTATAGCAACATTTTTTTTGCAGTAATAAAGAACTAGAAACAAAGTAAATGCCCAATGATTGGAGAATGGCTAAATAAATCATAGTACATGACTATAATGGAATAATACTGGGATCTAAGGAATAGCAAAAGCCTGAAAGATTGCATTAAGTAACACACACGGAAGTAAGGAGACCAAATATAACAATATACACAAAAACTATAACAATATAAATGCAAAGAACGGTGGCAAAACTACAGAAAGTGACTGTTATGTAATTACCAAAAAAAACAAGCTTGGTCCCAAAGAAGAGAAAGGAGAAGGCACATCCCCACACTCCTTTGCAGAAATGGGAGTATCCATGGATGGGGGACATTACACACATTGTCAGATTTTTTTATTTACTGATCGGTTTTGCTTATGTTTTTCTCTTTTCCTCAAAAAAGAAAGATCTTTTTTTTTTAAATACAGAATCTCCCTCTGGCAGGGGTTAATATAAGATTATGAACAGTACTGTTGTTCACTGATAGTGAGAATCACTAGAAAGGAAGTAAGTTTTGAGAAAGCTTGGGAAAAGAGTCAACTATACAAAGATCATCCTAAGAGCACTTAGTTAGCCAATCAGCCAAATGAGCATTTATTAAGTACCTACTATATGCCAGGCACCATGCTAAGCTAAGCATGAAAGGCAAGACAATCCTTGCTCTCAAGAAGCTCAGTCCAATTTAAGGAGGAAACTAGAAGGAGCGCAACAAAGATTTGTATAACAAAATCTTTTCATCATTAAGAACAGTGAAGCCATCACATTTAAACCCTAACATCAAAGTCTTAGATAATCTCCTTGATGAAGTAAAATGGCACTTCAGAAAATAAAGATGGTGAAAGTAGTTGGATGAGACCAGATATATATATATACACACACATATATAGAAGAGGTCTGTGTTGAAGGCAACACAGCCGAGGGCACTGGGAGATCAATTTTTAAGGTAGCTGAAAGAGAAAAAGATACCAAAGTTGGGAGAAGGGAGGGGACCTACTTTTCTTCATTTATACTATTCATATAACACTGGCTACACTTTTATTTCAAATGACTGATGAAGAGAAAGGGATTGTTAACACAAAATAACACACTTTCATATTGAAAACACTAAATCAATTAGATCATTGGGAAACTAAAAGTTTTAAAGCTGAAAGGGACCTGGAAGGTTATCTAGCCTTCCCAATTCCTTTTACAGAGGAAGAACTAGCTTAGAACGGTGAGTGGTTTGCCAGGGATCACACAGGAAGGAGTGTCAGAGCCCACAAAAAGAACCCAGGTGTCCTGACTCTCAGCCCAGCATGCTTGCTGCTGCAGCATTTGACCCCTCACTTTCTGTTCTGCTAAAATTTCTGACTGGGTTGAAATTTGAAAAATCTCTCTGGTTTAAAAATAAACCTCACACCTATAGAATGCTTATTCTTTAATGTCATTTTAAAAATAAAACACTCTAAATTTTTGAATGATTCAGAAAAGCTAAGGATCCTGATAAGATTTTATTTTATATTCCAATTTTCATGAACTTGTCTTAAACTTTTGAAATTATCATTCTATTTTTTTCACAAAAAAAAAAAAAAGCAAGGTGAGTCGTCATCCCTTACAGAATTTGAGCTATGGATAACAGAAGGAATGATCTACAGATGAAAAAAACATTAAGTGAAAGTTACAACTCCCGCATTCAAAGAGAAACCTGAGAGGTTTTTAGAAGGTTTTTTGGTGTTATGTTTTATTTTTATAGCAAACAAAGACAGCATACCACATAACAAAAGCTTTAAATGAAACAAGACTATCCTTTCATGGCACAAGAGACTGGATTGGGGCCTCTCCCCTCAAAATATTTAATATTTATTTTGCATGTACTTATTTATGTACATGTTGTTTCCCCTGATAAAATGTAACCTTCTAGAGGGCAGGGACTATTTCATTTTTGTCTCTATATTCCCAGGGCCTAGCATAGTGCTTGGAACTTATAATTATGCTAGCTGGTACAGTGGTTAGAGCACTGGGTCTGAAGTCAGGAACACCTGAGTTCAAATCTGCCCCTTAATACTTACTTAAGTATAATGCTTAATACTTAAGTATACTTAAGTATTATACTTAATACTTAGTTATGTGACCTTGTGCAAATCACTTAACCTCTGTTCACCTCACTTTTCTCATCTGTAAAATGGGAATAATAATAGCACCTACTTCCTAGGGATGTTGCAGGAATCAAATGAGGTAATAATTGTAAAGTACTCAACATATAGTAAGCACTATATAAAGGTTAGTTATCATTATTATTATTGTATAAAAAGAGGTAACTGGGTCTAGCTAATTCTCAGCACATAATAAGCACTATATAAGTGTTAGTTATTATTATGATTATAGGGCAACAAGGTGGTGCAGTGGATGATACAGTGGTTAGAGCACCAGGCTTGGAACCAGGAAGATCTGAGTTCAAATCCAGCCCAGACACTTACTAGCTGTATGACCCTGGGCAAGTCACTTAACCTCTATTTGCCTCAGTTCCTCAAATGTAAAATGAGGACACACTAGAGGAGGAAATGCAAACCACTTCAGTATCTTTGCCAAGAAAATGCCATGAACACAAAGTCCATTGGGTTATATAGAGTTGGACACAACTGAACAACAACAAAATTATTATTAGCGTGCAAAATAAGGTAAGTGATTCTAGCCCAATAGAAATGTGCCGTGCAAATTCAAATGATGAGACTACTTCAAGGGATTCATAATTGCTAGTTGATTGGCTTGAGCAATCTGAAAATCCTAGGTAAGATAAGATGGTAATTCTTTTCCCCTTTGAAGAAGTTATTGTTAGAATGGAGACATCATTTTACACCTATCAAATTAGCTAAAATGATTGAAGGGGAAAGCAACAAATATTGGGAGGGGATGTGGAAAAATTGAGACACTAATTCACTGTTAGTGGAACTGTGAACAGATTCAACCATTTTGGAGAGCAATCTGGAATTACACCAAAAGAGTTATTAAACTGCCTATACCTTTTGACCCAGCAAGACTACTAATAGGAAGGGGATCTGGACCCCAAAAAGGAAAAGCCCCTGGACTTTTCCACATGGCCCAGGTCCCTGTCGTTCTTAAGGGGCACCTGGCCCTTCCCAGTTAATCCTTTCAACTGCCCTTTCGTTGTGGGTCTCATTGTCTGCACCTGGCCCCACCCTAGACCAGCACTCCTTAATTCCATCTAGACCCCTTCCATGTGGCCCAGGTTTGTGGCCCAGGTCCATGGCCTCAAACCAAACCACTGGACTGAGAACCTGAAAGCATCAGGCTGAGTGTGAGACAGCCTTGTAACAGTCTGACCTAATGGGACTTGTGAAGTCAGGCCTGAAAAGCACCTCTAAACCTTCCTAGGTGTTTGGAGAGAGACCCCAACTGCAGGGCAAGAAGGGGATAGGGAGTGAGGGAAGGCTTACATACCTTCCAGTCTTGGCCATAGAAGATTTTGAGATTAGGCAGTTTCCTGATCAGGGAACCAAAATGTTGAAGTCTAGGGGTACTGGGAACCTGAAATTCAAGGGCAAGTGACATGGGTCCTGCCTCAAATGAATTCCACCCAAGCCTTCTTTTAGCCAAAGATAAGGTTTATTAGATCACTGATCAGGGTGGGCAAGATTCTAAGAATCTGCCCTATTAGCCAGATTTTAAGAATCTGAGCCTTTGTAATGAGAATACAACTGGATCAGAGTCTTAAGGAATCTGAGTGATTTAATGGGGACAAGATGGACACTTATATATAGTGGTCAAGGAGTGGTTAATAGCTCAGGTGACTGGGAGGTAAAAGAGAAGGACCCGAAAGGGCTAGGTGCCCCAGGTGAACACTAGGGACCTGGATCACATGGGAAAGTCCAGGGGCTTTTCCTTTTTTGGGGTCCAGATCCCAAAGACATAGTCTTTTCCTTTTAGGGGTTCAGATCTCAATCCCATCACTAATACTAGGTCTATTTCCAAAGACGATTAGGGAAAAAGGAAAAGAACCTATATGTTGTAAAATATTTACAGCAAGTCTCTTTGTGGTGGCAAAGAACTGGAAATTTCGGGTATGCTCATCAACTGGAGAATGGCTGAATAAATTGTAGTATTTGATCATGCTGGAATACTACTGTGCTATAAGAAATGATGAGCTCAATGATTTTAGAAAAACATGGATAGACTTGCACAAAATAATGAAGAGCAAAATAAGCAGAACCCAGAGAACAATATATAGAGTAAGAACAATATTGTTTTAAGAACAACTTTGAGAGATGAAGTCATTTTGACTACTACAAATACCCAAATTCACTACAAAGGACATATGAAGGAAGACACTATCTGCATCTAGAGAAAGAACTGATAAATAGAAGTATGTATAGAATGACTTTACATACATACATATATATTTATGTATGTATGTATGTATATGTATATGTATATATGCATCTAACAGTAGACATGGGGGCAGGGGGAGAAAAAAGAAAAAAAGAAATTTACATTATAACTTTATTACATATTTAAAAGAAATAGCAAGTTGTACATAATAGATTTGCAGTTTCATGTGCAATCTTTTTTATTATACTATGTTATAGAAATGCTTGTTTTGTTCCATAAACTAAAATAAAATAAATTTTAAAAATAGAATAGACAGCTCTCATTCATCCAACTTTATTATTATTACCAAGTTAATTCAGCAAATATGGATTGACTACTAGGCACAAGGTACTAAAGTTAGAAGAATGATAATGAAAGATAAATTGAGCCATTCCAAAGCTTTCAGATTTAAAATGCTGATTTTTGTTATGCTGATGAATCTGCCCTTAATCATCAGTCCTTGAGGTATTATTCCCAGTCCAGATTTCTGTCTCTAAGGTGCAAAGGCCTATGTAATATAATCAGGAAAAAAAAATCCTCCTACTTTTCTTGACCCAAATACATATGACTAGATTCTAATGTGCGGCCTGGGGAAAAGAGACTTTGGGACAAGTTTAAAATGCCCTAGCAAGCCTAACCCAATTCTGGGTCATCATCAATTCCAAAGAATGCCTAAGTCAATTTGGTCCGAGTGAAATTCCCCCTAATCTGGATCCGTTCTAGCTTGTTCGTAGAAAGATCCCCACAGGGTAGTGGTGGTTTAAAAGATACCTGGGTATGGTCCCAGAGATCTTAACTGAGGTCAAAATAGAGAATGATGATAATGATGATGATGATGATGATGATGATGATGATGATGATGATGGTGATGGTGATGATGGTGATGGTGATGGTGATGGTGATGGTGATGGTGGTGGTGGTGGTGGTGGTGGTGATGATGATAATGGTAATAGCTAACAGGAAAGGAGATAATATATGGAAAGCACTTTGCTAGCCTTAAATGACTAAATGAAGAAGTATTTATTAAGTACTTCCTATGCATTAAGTACTGTGCTATGTGAATGTAAACTATTACTATATGATTGCTTTCAGGTGTGCGAAATGCCATTACATATATTAACTCCTTTTAATCCTCACAATAATACTGTAAGGTAGGGGCTATTATTATCTCCATTTTTAGATGGAGAAAGTGAGAGTATGAGAAGTTAAGTGACTTGCCCCGGGTCACAGAGTTAAGTGTCTGAGGCAGGATTCCAAGTCGGGTCTTCCTGACTCCTAACCCTTAGGAGTTAATTTAATGCTGTCAATCAAAGCTATATCTACTAAGAAGGACATATTGACACACACCAAAAAAAAAAAAGTAAAAATTATAGTTAATGGAATCAGAATGACCAAATTACCATATTGCCATGAAAAGAAATAGTTCATTTAACTTTATGTTTAAAGTAGATGATTTCTTAACTCTGGATTACTGCATTTGTCTAATATTTCCAAATTACTAATATATTTTTAATATGCCTTCCATTTTAAAAAAAAGAGTATCATATAAGTCCTCTCATTTTGTAAGCCATAAACCATAAAAGAAAACTTTCAAATTGGAAGTTCTTTACAAAGAAATTCTAACAATATAGCCTCCGAGCTTACACATTAACTATTTCCAACTCTTTTTAGAAGTGTTATTTACTAGCTTCCCATTCTTTTAATCAATACTAAACCCTCTTCAAGGTTTTCCCCTGGAGGCTTAATATTAACATTTCAATTTTCCTTTACCTTAGATGGGTCATATCTTCGGAGAGTTTCTAAGAGCTTTGGAATGTGTATCCTTGTTTCTTCTTCACAGAAGAAAATCCATGATGAGTTTCTGCTAAATGATGTGGAAAAACTAAGAAGAAATAGTTTACAATAAGCTCTACTCCAAACTGGATTTATCATAAAACCACAAAGTTGTGAGTAAGAAATGGAAGAAATGATGATGAGATACGATGATAAGAGAGCCCTATTTTCTTCATGTATTTTTCCTTTCCTTAGACAATGGTCCAAAGAGGAATCTTATCAGCTCTTCAAATTCACTTTCCCATAAAAATCCTTCAGAAGGCAGATAAGAGAATGTTCATATACTCAATTCTGTAGTTCATTTGTTTACTTTTGAAGTAAATTGTGTTTTTAATTTAAAGCTGTGACAAGCAATAAACTTTCCAAGGCTGAACCCCACCCCCTCTCATTCTTCCTCCACCCCGGCCCTACACAGTCACCAATTCTGAAAGAAGAGTACCCAGAAACCTCCAGGCAAGGAAAACTAAGTAACATGAGCATATTCAGATGAGAATGTCAGTAATTCAGAAAGATTTTTTTCATACATACTGAGGTAATAACGGAAGTATGGTCCATGCTCCTTCATGCTTATCCAGAAGATGAAGAAGAAGAACTCTGGGGAGCTCCTAAAACACAGGGTGATAAAATAAAATTAGTCAATAAATAAACAAGAGAGGGAAATAAGTCAGAACACCTGACCACTACAATATTAAATATCCACTTAATTTCAACACAAACATTTCTTGAGAAAGGTGATTTTAATGTCTCATAGGTTGGGTCAAAGTCCCTTCTTTTCTCCCTAGGGTCTACAGGAAATGATCATTCTCCAATCAAATGTGCATTGTTCTCTTCATCTGAACAATGAAACATTAACTAAGCATTTCCAATTGGTGATTTTTCTAAACTAGAATCTAAGATGGCTAGGGTTGGGAAAGAGGAAGGACCACAGAAGGAAGGGTTTCCAAGAGTTATAGCTTGACAAGAATTAATCCTATGAAGACAGAAAAAAATTCTTTCAAGGAAATGAAAGCTCAAGTATTCTACAAGCACATATACATAAGAAAAAATAAGTATTAATTCACCTCATAGACAAATAAATCAACACTTAAATATTCAGACAGTGAGGTAGTTAATTTTGGGGTAACACAGAGGATAAGAACTATATGTAGGATTTCTAAATGCCATGCATTGGTAGAGAAACAGTAATAGTTTTCAAATAACACACACCTGTCGCCAGAAGAATACAAATATATTTAATATTCAATTGTATTAATATTTAATTGAATGGCATTCATTTTGGGGATATAACATTGATGTGGTTTAGAGGTTTAGGGGTGCTGGGACCCACAATAGACGTGTCCTGCCCAAAAGAATTCGACCCAAGCCTTCTTTCAGCCAAAGACAAGGTTTATTAGAACATCCGTCACATTGGGCAGACTCTTAAGGAGTCTGAACATTAGTAAACTATTGGCTAGATTATAAGAATCTGACCAGTGGCCAGATTTTAAGAATCTAAGCAATGGCTAGATTATAAGAATCTGAGCATCTTAATGGTGACAAGATGTACTTTATATACAGAAAGACTGTGGGAGGGATCTAGGAGTAGCCAAGTAGTCTAAGTGGTAATAGAATTCTAGGGAAATGGAGAGGCAAGACAATGGAGGGGAGATTGGGTGTAGACACAATGAAAGGCCAGTTGATTATAGCCTCAAGCAAATGCCAGAGATTTGGCCATGTGGGAAAGTCCAGGGATTTTCCTTTCTCGGGCCCAGATCCCAACCCCATCAACACAATTCTCCTCTAAGTAACTATAAAAAGAGACTAAAAATCTTATCATAAAACCTCCTAGAGGAACAATGAGCAGACTTGGTGTTTCATTACTGGCATTCTTCAGTTCTCCCAATACACTTTATTGCCACAAGTTTTATACAGGATATAAAAAACATGTTATCCTAAACATTATAGACAGGAAGGTGAAATGATAAACATCCAATTTTGCCAAGCACATCATCATTACAGAACCACTGGGATTATCAAGTCAACCTTGCAGGCTGCATACTTTGAATTATTTTCAGAAGAAAAGATAGACTCTGACAAAGCCAGAGATTTAAAAGTAAATGAGGCTTGTTTCTTTGCAGCTACTTCAGCATCGCTGCACAAATTAACATGAGAGTGGTCAAAGATTAAGATGACCACTTAAGATTAAGTGGCAGTCTAGGAAAGAAAAAGAAAGAGATGAAGCAATACCTCGCCAAACTCTCCCCTCTTTGTAAATTCCCTGCTGCTGACATCCTCCCAATCACCTAGGCTCATAGCCAAGGGGTCATCCTCCATTCCTCACTTTCTCTTCCCTAGCCCATATCCAATCAGTCATCAAGTCCTTTCATTTATACCTTTGTAATATCTCTTGTGTATGCCCCATTCTCCCTTCTAACACTGCAACCTCTCTGGTGCACCTGGACTCTTGCACTAGTCTACTGGTAGATATTCCTTAAGTCTCAAGTCTCTCCCTTCTCCAACTGTCCTTCCTCCAATCAACTATCAAATTGATTTTCCTAAAATGAAGATCTGACTGTATTTCACCCTCTGTTCAAAAAACTCCAGTGACTTCCTATTACTTCCAAAATCAATTAGAAAATCCTGTGTTTGGCTTTTAAAGTCCTTTATAACCTGGTATTTCCCACCTTTCCAGACTTCTTAAATCGTATTCCCCTTTATGTATTCTGTGAACCCATGATACTGACCTTGTTATTGAATTAAAACTGTGTCTCATGTATGATAATATTTTCCTTCTTCATCTCTACTTCCTGGTTTCCCCAGTTTCCTTCAAGTCTTAGCCAAAGTCCTACCTTCTGCAAGAAGCCATTCTTTAGTGCTCCTTCATCTTAATGAAGTCTGTAAGCCTCCAGGTGGATAAAGAGAGATGGCATCAGCATCTCATGCTCCCCACTGGTGGCCTGCAAGCAGTCATGAACAGAGGCTGTTTTTGGTTCAGTTGTATCTATTTCTCCTGCTCTTAGGTAAGTCTGAGAGATAGCTGCAACCTTGTGAGTTTCAGAAGGTCAGAAGAACAAGATGCCAGAGACTCAGGACTCCAAACCAGTGCTTACCAGCTGCTGATCCTGGGGTACCAGCCCAGTCCTGAGAAATGATTGGCTTGACCCAGCCTAATAGCAAATGAGCCCACTGAGATATGTCCTGCAAAAAAGGGGCTACTGTGCCAGTGTTTGTATGTATTTGGGGGAGAACTTCGTGAGGCAAACACTTTGCAGCAACCTGTTTAAGTTTGAGCACACTATCCATCAGGGACCAAGGGGTTGCAGGGGAGAATACGTGCTGGGGTTTGGGGGGGAAGTTTTCGTACTTTTGTTTTTGCTACATCTTTTCAGTAAATATCCCTTTTAAAAGATAACTGATTTTACCTAGTTAAATTGATAATTGAGTACTAATCAATGGCATTGATGATATTGAGGAAATATTAACTGGTAATTGATATTGAAAATAACACATTAGAATGGGTGTTCAAGCTGAGTACATTAGAGCAATGGTTCCTAACATTTTTTATTCCATGAACCACTTTAACAATAATTAAAAAATGTTGTAAACAATTGTGGAGGTTGTGAACCCTCTGGGTAATTTGACATACTATGCACAATAAACTTTTAGATTTATTATCTAAGTGTTTTTACAATAACCATAAAAAACTTCCCACCAAAACACCCAAATTAAAATGTACATTTATATAATTAAAATTAAAGAATATAAAATTTTATTCTACCTAAAATTATGAAAAGTGCAAATTTAAAATTATAAAACAATGACAAATATTTTATGTGGGACATCCTGTAAGAATTAAATGAAGCAATCCAGTAAGACCTTATATGCTTACTATTATCTGCCAGAGTTCCTACTAAATTTCTTCATTTTACAAATTTTGTCAAATATTAATAATATTTTAATGAAATAAGTTACAACTTGTAAAATGTTTCACATAATATTATGATCAATTTGATTTCAATGTTGGACTGTTTTATTTGAATGAAGGTTTACAATATTTGGCTCAATGTCAAACAAAGATGGTCTTCAATCTGGTGCTTTACTGAGTTTATTGCTGTATTTTGCTTTAAAAAAAGAATAAAATGAAAATGTTCACTCATGCAAATATGTGGTGAAAAACAAGCTCTCTTACTGAGAGACAGAACCTGAGCAAATACACAGAGGAAAAAGAAGGAATATTTAATTTAGAGAATAGCTAGTCATCCAGGGTGGTTGTGGTAAAGAGAAATGATATGAAATAGAGTAGAAAAAATTACTTGAAGCCAGATTGTGGAGAGCCTTAAATGTCAAGTTAAATGTATATCTTAAGGGCAGCTACGTGGTGCAGAGGATAGAGTACTGAACCCGGAGTCAGAAAGACTCATCTTCCTGAGTTCAAATCTGGCCTCAGACACTTACTAGCTGTGTGACTCTGAGCAAGTCACTTAACCCTGTTTGCCTTTGTTTCCTCATCTGTAAAATGAGCTGGAGAAGGAAATGGCAAAACCACTCCAGTATCTTGGCCAAGAAAACCCCAAATAAGGTCACAAACAGTTGGAAATGATCGAAATGACTGCACAACAATAAATGCATATCTTAACCCTGGGCAAGGGGGAAACACTGGATTTTTGAGCAGGGGAGTAGTAATCTTCTCTCTTACAGAGGTTATTTTAGAAGGAGCTTAGTAGTACTTTACATAATATGGGCCCAACAGGCCTTTGAGAATTCACTTCCAGACAACTATGAAGCACCAAAGGATCTCAGACCATAGCAAACTTTCTTGATAATTACATCACAAAAAGTCTGAGAACATCGATAATGAAACATACTCCTTACACTTCCCATCTTCTAACATTCTATTCACCTCCATAAATACAATGCAGCCATAGTAGCCTACATGCTGCTCCTGGCACAAATAACACTCCATCTCCAGTCTCTCATCTACATGCCTTAGCACTGGCTGATCCTTCGTACCTGGAGTGTTCTCCATCCTCACTTTGGCCCCTCAGGAGCCCCGACTTCCTTCAATATTCATCTCAAACCTCCTTCAAGAAGCCTCTCCTCACTCCTCCCCCAAACCCAAATGTATGTCCTCCCCTCTAAGGCTCCTTTCCAACTATTCTGGATGTATCTTGTCTGTACCTATTTCTATTTTCTTTGTAACCCTAGTATTTAGCACATTTAGCTTAAGCATAGTTAAGTACCTAAATCAATGCCAATTGATTGGGTGAGTGGTACCTAAGGAAGGGAAACTAAGGAATCTCATTTATCAAGGATGTTCTGTGATGCTAGCGACAATAATTTCTAAGAGTAACAAATGGAAATGTGTAGCAGAAAAGTATCTGAGATAATAATCTTTAATTCTTCAACAAAGTAACGTAGTCTTGCTAAAACACTGCTAATTATAATCTGTAAGGTACACTCCACTGGTAAAATATATGGTATACTTGTAATTGTTCAGTCATTTTTCAGTCATGTCCAACTCTTCATGACCCCATTTGGGGTTTTCTTGGCAAAGATACTGGAGTGGTTTGTAATTTCCCTCTGTAGCTTATTTTGCAGATGAGGAAACTGAGGCAAACAGGGTTAA